TCAGCAACAGGAGCTGATAGATATATTACACATTGTATTTTATTCCTTATTTGTCAAAATCATTCTAGCTGTAAGCTGCCTCATAATTCCTACACATTGAAGTCCCTTTAAAATTTATAGAGAGACTGGCGAGGCAGAAACCGGCCGGTCCATTTCTCAACACTACTAACTTTCAGTCATTTCTGGTTCAATCAACGAGAAGATGAATAAACCGCCGACGAATTTTCAGAATACCGGCTAAAACCGAAACACGCTAAGACCGTTTTTACAACATTCCTAAGAACCTGCCCCCTTTTAGGAATCAAACGTGGTGGCACTGTGGTGGTGCACGGTGGCTGCTGTTGGACGCGAGTGGCGGCGGTAACTGTCATGTTTACGTGTGACTGATGACAAATTAATTGGTTCACAGAAAAATTGGAGATTGAATATTTTGTTTGGAGCTTAAAGAGCCGACATGGATATTTATTTGGAGCAGCTGGGGACGCGTTAACCGAGTAGAACGCGTTGTGTACATATACACATGTCTTAGTTTTTTTTATTTACAAGCATGGCGACGACTAATTCTTCATTTTCTTTTCCTTTAAGGTTTGAACAGGTCTAAAATTCTAGGTCTCCGCGGCCTAAACCAAGAGCTTAGCCAATAACTCACAATTAGTTACCTTCGCAAAATTAAACGTTGTAAATACTAAGTTTTAGTAAGGTTGCTATCATTGTCTTCAATAAGTAGTTGCAAAAAATAAAAACCTATGTTTGTTGGCTCATATTCGAGTGAAAAATGGTGATGTTTAAAAATATCTTCTCATACTCTAAATCAAAATCAACGACATACAATTAGCCAAAATAAAAATAAAAATAAATAAATAAAATTCTATTTTGGCACATATTCAAGTGAAAAATGATGATGATCAAAATTATCTTCTCCAAAATTGGCGACTTACAATTAGACCCTGTTCGTGTAAAATTAATCTTTTTCTCACAGAGAGCAGGAGATATGTTGTCCATCGATGATGTGTCACATCATCGATACTTTAGACCTCATCGATGATGTAGCAACACCACATTTTGTGACATCATTGGTGGGCACAAAGTTGATAAAAAAAATTATGAATCTTATAAAATGTATGGTTAAAATTAATTGTTTATTTTAATTTAAATTTTTATCAACCTTTAAATTTACACCAAACAGGGGCTCAGTGTCCATTGAATTGGACTCGTAATCTATAATAGAGCTAAAGGTTTATGATCTTATGAGATATGATGAGAGATTCTCGAGAGAACTTAAAATTTACGTGATTATGACAGTTATTACAGTTTGAGCATACTAAAGCTAGAACATTATAATATATGTACAAGAATCATAATGTCGATGTATTAAAAAGGATGTGTATCCACCTAAATAATTGAAAAGAAAAAATAAAAAATCTCACTTAATACCCTCGCTTCATTTCCATCCAAGATTAAACACTTCAATGCTAGCGTATAATTTTTTATATGTTGATGGTGTTGACTTAAAACTTACCATTACCGATAATCCATAACCAACCAAGAGCAGTACCAGAAAAAATGCCACCAAGAAGAAATAGAACTAGTAGATTACCCAACGCATTCTGCTCCGGTGCCTACAAATGAAGAAATTCATACATATTAAGGTTGAAACATAGAAAATAATGAATTGTGAATTGTGATTTCAACTTACCTTGTAACCTTTTGGAGCTGCTGTGAGGATGCAGACACTCAGGTAGCCATTTGTAATTCCTAAGAAGGATACGAGAAATATCATCCACCCTTCGTTTCCATACTTCGCAGTAAAATAGAAAGCAGGGATTAGCAAGAAACGAGATAGGGATGCAATCAAGAGGCCCTTTCTTGATTCTAACTTTACGCTTTCAATGAGAGGAACGTATCTTGAAATAAGATCCCAAACGTTGAATACCACTACCAGGACAACTGCGTACCTGTTTGTGAAAAGAATTCTTGAATAATCGATAGGTAATTCAAGAGCAGAAGTGTTTCACACACGTACCAAGAACCTAGCAGGTTGGATCTAGTGTTTTCGTACAAGAATCCGGGAATAATTGATAAGGTGAGCACGTATATCAAGTAAAGGTCGAATGCATAGTCAAGATTCTGAAATAACAGTTGGTTATTGCTCAGCCGCTCATGATTAGCATCGTCAGCCTGTAATAACAAAACCTGTCCTGAAAGTTTAAAATATCCATTCATTGAGAATCAAACTGTTCTGAGATCAAGAAACTTTATTTACTCTTTCGCTCTCTTTAATGTGGATGCCGGCAGCAACCAGATCAGACGAAACTGTTTCCGATCCTTCTGCAGCAGCCCTTGACCGGAAGTATTTCACAATTGGTATTTTGGGGAAGATCCACGCATACAGGAGGATGCATAGAAACTCAAAGAATATTGAGATAGCCAGATATAACACTGAAAGAACATAATTACCAACTGAAAAAATTTACTGATAGATTTATCGAATCATTGATAGTAAAATAATTTTGTGTTACTTACTAACTCCCATACGAAGGCCATTATCAAATTTATCGAAGGCTGCTTTTGTAATTAATCTAAGTGCAGCAGTTAGAGTCCCTGATGCAGCCAAACCAGCAAAGAATGACTGCAAGTTCATACAAGGGAGAAGCATAAATCTTGAGATCCGATTCAAGAATCTTTAGAAAATGCAATGTAAATGGGAAAGGAATAGGAAAAACTTACTTGGATGAATTGGGGACTCATGAAAGATAGATCTCCTATCATTCCACCTTGAACGAGGCCATCTGCAACTCCAAAACAAGCAACAAATACACAAATTCCAATATAATTTCCAATTCCTCCCTTTCCTGATGTGGCTAGGTCCAACTTGTAACAGAGAAAATTGATTATAGACAATGGAGATTCGGTGAAGTAAAACCATGAAAAGAGAGTGCAAAAATGGCTAAGAGAATAACTCACAACAAGAAGTCCAAAGTACCAAGGAAGAAAATAATGTAACCAGCCAAGTTACGTTTCCTTGTATCAATCTTTTCCTCATTGTAAGTAAGTATCGCCGCAGTTCCAAATGCGAAGGGTTGATAAACAAGGGTCAGGACCCGGGATGGATGGTAACACTACATCAGAGGAAATACTGTAAATTCTTCAGATTTTTTCGATTAAGCATTATAATAGTATGCTATATGCTAAATAAGATCATATGCATTCCATTTGAAGACAGGACAGACACAGATATATGCTAAAAAAGTGTAAAGAGGTTTCCTATAATGTTCTCACCGGGAACAAATCATAGTAGTAATCTTCTATAGTCAACAAACTATTCCATGAGACAAGGGATCCAAGTCCAAGAAACCAAGAAGCCACCAGTGCCATATTTTTTCCCTGAAATTTAACATTAAATTCCTAGCAACACAATTTGAGAACTTAGGAAAATTCAAAAGAATAAAAATCAACATCAACCTCAATCCTGCTTGGACTTAAGATTCCTCTTTGATTAACATTATTCATGGCTGCTGCTCTTTTGTTGAAACCAATAGCAAATAACTGAATATTGCTTTCAGTCCACGTGTATTCTTGAATTTAAATATTGAAGCATTTCAAAAACTTGTTTAGATTGATGTAATTGAAGATTCAGATAATCTTATTGAAAGCAACTGGTTTAATCAAATAAACGTGGGATTACCTCTTTTCATTTAATTATTTCGATAAGAATCCAGTAACTCCTTGCTAAAAAGGGTCAACAATCGTACCAATGTTGAAAAGTATTCTTCCAATGGTTCATTGAAGAGAATTTGATATTTTCATTCTCAATCTTTAAGATAAGTCAGTAAATTATCCTCATCCTACCTTTTCTTAATTCAAATCATCCTCAACCTTTAGGAATTTATCGCAAAACTTGTTCTTCCGTCCATCCCGACCATTAAATTCATATAAAATGAAAAAAAAGAAATAAACTAAATACCAAAAAAAAAAAAAAAAAAAATTGAAAATTGTAACAAGCGTCATAAATCTTTTCAAAATGAACAAATAAATCCTATTCTCCAACCATCCTCATTTCCCAATCCGCCAAAACCACCACTACTACCCTCATCACCACCGTATACCAAGCTGTTAAAGAAAATATTTTTCGATAATCTAGGTTAGTGACGGTATTTTTAGTTTTTTCAAAAATAAAAATTAAAAATCTGAACATATCTGTACTTTCCTGTTTTCATTTTTTTTTCCCTAAAAGAAAACACAAAGGGTTAATTTCATAAACGGTCACTGAACTTAAGCGAAATTACAAAATGGTCACCGAAGTTTAAAACTTTCAGTAACGGTCACTTAAATTTTGGGCTTTTTTTGCAGAAACGGTCACTGAAGTTTAAAAACTTGCAGAAATGGTCACTGAAGTTCAAAAATATTTTTTTTCAATTTTTTGGACATTTTTGTAACAACTTTTCGCCCACTTCCGACCACTGATGCCACCGAATTTTGATACCGTTGAAAAGCTCATAATGTCCTTTTATTTACCACCAATCTCTCCCTAACTCCAAGGGATTTGACCTGAAAATCGTTGTAATAGTCTCACAAAAAATCTGCCCAAATTTTTAGCTTTTTTAGGCGATTTTTTGGCGATTTTCCACCACCAAGACCACCGAATTTTGATATTGTTAGAAAGTCCAAAATGTCCCTTTCAATTACCATCCAAAATCTTTCTCAAACTCCAAAGGATTTGGCTGAAATAAACCCATAAAGTTGGCTACCCAAAAAGGAGAAAAATTTAGATAGATTTCTCAGATTTTTTGGGTTACTTTTAAGGCAACTTTTCGGTAACTTCCTACCACCAATACCACCAGATTTGATACCATTGAAAAGCCCACAATGTCCTCTTCAATAACCTCCAAAAATCTCCCCCAAGCTCCAAATGATTCATCCGGAATAAACCCACAAAATTGGCTAACTGAAAATGGGAAAATTTGAGCAGATTTTTCAGTTTTTTGGGTGAGTTTTGTGGCAACATTCCAGCAACTTTTGACCACCAAAATCGTTGGATTTTGATACCATTGGAAAGCCCACAATCTCATCTTCAATTACTACTTAAAATCTCCCCATAACTCTAAAGGATTTGGCTGAAATAAATCCACAAAATTAGCATCCCCAATCTGGAGAGATTTTTGCCTTTTTGGGGAGCCGATTTTGTGGGTTTATTCTTGCAGAATCCTTTGAATTTTGGGGGAGATTTTGGTAATTGAAGAGGACATTGTGGACTTTCCAACGATATCAAAATCGGATGATCTTGGTGGTCGGAAGTCGCCGAAAAATAGCCGCAAAAGTCACCCAAAAAATATGGACAGGGCGATTCTTGCAACGATTTTCCGGTTGAATCACTTGGAGTTACGGGGATATTTTGGGTGGTAAAAGAAAAGGACATTGTGAGCTTTCCAACTCTATCAAAATTCGACAGTATCGGTGGTTGGAAGTGACCGAAAAAGTTTTTAAAAATTAGACAAAACAACTGAAAAAGTGTTTTTAAATTTCAATGACCGTTTCTGCAAGTTTTTAAACTTTAGTGACTGTTTCTGAAAGTTTTTAAATTTCAGTGATCGTTTCTAAAAGCACATCGAAACTTAACTGACCGTTACTAGAAGTTTTAAACTTCAGTTACCGTTTTGTAATTTTTGCGTAAGTTCAGTGACCGTTTGTGAAATTAATTCAAAACACAAATGTTTAATTAAAATTTCTACTAATGAACAATTTTACCTTTATCACACGATGTTAATAGTCACTTCTAGAAATTATTTTCAATCATAAAATTTGTTAATTTAGTTACCTTTCTCTAACAAGCTGTTCTAGTAAATATCATAAATTACTAAAGCTAAAAGTATGTAAAAGAGTATCATCATAAGAGGTCTAATCTTAGTATAAATTATCTTCAAAATATATTTATAAAAAAAACAATAATTTTATTGATGTACATAGAGGCTGTACTGAAACTGAGCTCACGGGTTTTCAATGAAATGGGCCCGGGCATCATGTCTTCTTTAGTACCCTTGTCCGGGCTGGATCTTTTCACAAAGTACCTGCCCGGCCCACATTTAACCTGACCCTAAAAGCGTCAATAGCTAACCTCACCCATTATATTTCATTTAATATGGTGAATTGAATAGAACTCAGCTTGATTACACGTTAAAAAGAAATTCATTAATTTCGTGACCAAATTTTTTTATTCTAACATAACGCATGTGATTTTTCGAAAAGCCTAGGCTCAAATATTTATTGTATTTTTCAATCGAAATGGAATTGTACATCCATAATTCACTTCAATCCAAATTGGTGATTCACCGTGTACAAGAACATCTGCAAAGCATCCACGGTTGAATGATTGAAACGTCCAGCTCATAATTGATGAATTCATAAATTGAATTCCTAAATGATTTGTTAGTGGGTGAGTGATGCCCACAAAACAATGAATTTGATTTATTTGTTTATAGGCCCACTGTAATGTCTTTCACTCAGAAATAATAATGATGATGCTATCTGCATGGGGTTGAAGGCGTGAATGCATGCACTTATATTATCATTGCAAATGTCCCTTCCTACTCCACATATATATTATCATCCCTTTACATATTTTTGATAGAGTCATGCTCCATACTTTAACTATATGACAAATAAGTTTAATTCCCTTCGTGAATGGTCGAACAACGATGTGAGTTGCTGTTCACTGCAATGACAAAAGATTTTTTGTGATAATGCTCTCGGATTGGTGAAGCATCCATGTTAACACATGCATGGTAGGGTATAAATAGAAGACCTAAAAATAGCTGCATGTATATTCATAATAAGTTAATTTTATAGAATTTGAAAGGGTATTGTTGCTGTTCGACCTATATTTTTTTTAGAAAAATGGCATGCGACACAGGTCAACACAATGTCAGATTGAATTACACCTTGAGAAGCCTAAGCTCGGACCTTGACCATCGTGATTAATAGATTATTGCTACACTGCCCCACCTTACCACTAGTTGCTTCCGACATAACAAGTGACACTTATGATGTCACTACCTCATATTTGACTAATTATAGTCAGGTAATGATCACCCAGCTGCTAACCATCATCACTTGACTCTATAGCTGTAACATAGGCTCATGATGACTTGTATGGTCGACCTCAACAACCAATCATGGAGCGAAAACTTGGACGATGGCATGCATTTTTAGGTTAGCACTGTAGTTGAAATGATGTCAGGCAGTCAAGTGGTATGATCTTTCATCCTATAAATAGGATCAAATGGTCCTCCCCTAGGACAGAGCTAAGATGACTCAATAGAAAACATTCTTAGATGTTTCTTTCAATAAAATCTTCTTTTAAGTTAATCTAATTTTGCCATGTCATTTATAGTCATCAACAGGTATTATTATATTAATGAAGATTTTAATAAATTATATTAGTTAGGAGAAAGAATGGAAAGTGAAAGTGAGAAGGAAAAAGCAAAAGCTATTGGTCTTCTTCTATTGATTGTAGTGGAAAATTCTTATGAGCAAAGGGCTTTCTCTTATACCAATAAAAAGCAGAGAATCATTTGGAACAATAAAGAAGATGTTGTGAAGCCAAAATGGAAAGAAAGACCAAGTAGACAAAAAAGTAATCAACATTCTCCAGGAGCAACATGAGGTAGGTCATCAGTCAAAGCTAAAGAGTAAAAAAAAAAAAAATAAATAAAAAGAAAGAAAGAAAGAAAGAAAATATATTTGGCTCTTTTTCTCGTCACATGGTCACAAAATTCGTCACAACCTTTATCCTCTTTTTCTCGTCACATGGTCACTAAATTCGTCACAACCTTTATCATTCAATTGTGATCTCACGACCTTCAAAGTAAGTATGGACATTATGGGGATGTACTGTGTATGCCTTCCATTTTCTCCAAAATAATGGTTCATTGTACATACTCTTCGAGGACAATGTGTAGTTCAATTGGGGAAATGAAGAGCAAGAAAAATCGGTTTCGTCATCATTACACATTTGCATAATAAATGAGACATTGATATAGTTGTATTTGGAACGTTTACATTTGTGTAATAAATGAAAGATTGTTATAATTGGATTTGGACAAAAAGTTATTTAAAACGAGAGTGTGGATGAATTTAGAAGGTCTGACTATGCAACTTACATTAAATTGAGACCCGATGAGGGTAAACAACATATTAGACTAATTATCATAAGTCAATTTAGCTATGTTAGAAACGCTATAGGACGCATTTTTTTTTACTCAAATACAAGTTTCAAACACACGTAGAACATGTAGATCAAATCTCACGCCTTACGGGTCTATACATAAAAAGACATTTTCCTATTTTTAATATTGTCTTAATTCTTGTAGATAAATAAATTAAAAAAATAACATTTAACTTGAAAATTTATAGGGACTTTATAAATATTTCTCAAATTTCCAAGCTAAACATAGAAATACTCCAAATCAATATCAGTTCATACTAGAAAATTTCGCTACGTGTGAGAAGAACTTGAGTAAATGGTACTTATTTTTGAACCATACAACAAACTTGATGACAATATACATTTTAACTAAAACTCCGAAAAGAAAAAGGAAAAAGGACAACTTTAAACATGTTACGACAAACATTCTAAGTAATTGCATTTATTAGAGTCACATGTGTCACACTATCTACTGTAGTTATTGATCACATTGTGAAGGAGACTAAATCAGCATAATGACCCACTCTGCCTCACTATGTATCATGTGACAATCCCTATAATATTAGTTCTATAACAAAATTCTAAGATTCCTTCTTTGATTGTTGACGAAATACTATTTCCACCCCCTTTTTTTGGACGACGACACGTGTCAAACAATTTAAATTTCAAATTTGACATTTCTTTTTTGAATAATGCTATTTACCTAAACACGTGATAATCTTAATTCCAAACTCTATATTTCTCTTTGAATTACTATTAATCTCGAGCTTAGATGTCGGTCTGAAAATACATTTAAAATTCATTATACTGTAGGATCACATAAATTGATAATCATCTTGACTCTAGATGAATCTTAAATACAAAAAATAAAGCAGCTCTCTTTCAGTGTTGCATAAATACGCTCACTTTCCCTTCTACATTCGCATCCCTTCCTCCGAAATCAGACTTTTGTTGAACTGAAGGAAAGATAATTTCTTCTTTGGAACTAGAGAAAAAATGGAGCTTGCTCTTGAAAGTCCATTAGCGAATCGATGCTCTCTCTCTCTCTCCTTCTTTTTTTTTTCCCTTAAATACAAAAAATAAAGCAGCTCTCTTTCAGTGTTGCTTAAATACGCTCACTTTCCCTTCTACATTCGCATCCCTTCCTCCGAAATCCGACTTTTGTTGAACTGAAGGAAAGATAATTTCTTCTTTGGAACTAGAGAAAAAATGGAGCTTGCTCTTGAAAGTCCATTAGCGAGCTTCGAAGACCAGCAATACGACGGCGTTTCAGCTCTCTTCGCCAATGAATCAGACCACATGCCTTGTCTACTCTCCTTCGAATCCTCAGATGTTCGTTTCTTTATTCGCAGCAATGCCGTCTCGCAAATCCTTCATGTAAATTCAATATTCAGACAATAAAATAATTTATTACTTTCTGCGTTAAAATTTAATTGAATTAGCTTCTTCTTCTTCTCTTTTTCCCCCCAGGCGCAGCTGTCCTATGGTTTAGATCCGTTTATTGTCTACCTCTCTGTCAATTACATCGATCGATTCCTCTCTAAACAAAAAATTCTGGTAAATATTTTTTTTGTTATTATTCATGTATTTGATTTCGAATTTGTGAGCAGTGCTGAGAATTTGTTATCATTTATTTAACTTGATACTAATCCAGGAGAAAAAGCCATGGATTGCTCGAATTCTGGTAGTTGCAAGCCTTTCGCTTGCTGCGAAGATGAGGAACTGCAATTTGTCAGTTTCACTTTCCGATTTAAAGGTACTATATTGAATAAGTTTATGAGAATCTTGTGTAAGTTATAACAAAATTAACGCGTAATTTCTAAGAAAACAGAGAGAAAAATATTTTGAATTTGATGCACATTCAATTCGGCGAATGGAGGCAATCGTTCTGGGGGCTCTTGAATGGCGAATGCGATCGATCACACCTTTCTCGTTTCTCCACTATTTCATCTCTCTCTTTGAAATCGACGATTCTTCGTTGATTGTGGCTCTCAAACAACGAGCTTCATGCTTTATCATCAATTTGCAATATGGTAATTCTCTGTTTTTTTAGTAGAATTTAATGACATGCATTCATAGATTGCATTTATATGCTTAACTCTGACTAACAATATCGTTATATATTTTCAATTCCAGAATTAAAGTTTCTACAGTATAAACCATCAACAATTGCAGCCTCAGCGCTTCTCTGTGCAACTCAGGACTTGATTCCACTGAAGTTTACTTCGTTTAAAGACGAGATTTCTTCTTGTGAATACGTAAATCAAGTAAGATAACCATTAATCATACACTATTACAACGTTTTAAACTTTTGAACGAGATAAAAGACCAATCCTATTCATATTAGTTTAATGTCATCTTAGCTACTGAGATCAAGTTCATTGTGCTATTGCAGGAGAGGTGGTTAGATTGCTTGCGAGCAATGCAAGAGATGTTGATGAACGGTTACGAGTCGAATCTTCATGCATCACCAAGTTGTACGTTGACGCCGGTGAGTGTCCTTGACCTCCAACGTACAAGAAGATCTGAAAGCGAGTATGACACTACTTGCAACTCTGTAATTCTGGACACACACAGCACCAACAAACGGCGGAGATTGAATGGTTTGTCTGGTAATCGAACGTTCAAGATTTCACAGACTCAGCAGTGTTGAGACATAAGTCAAGCGCTGTACAATTACTTATAAAGTCAGACTCATAGTCTGCGTTCTTACTCCAAATATCAATACGTAGAAAAAAAATATTAAAAAGGGAAAAAATTTCACTTTCAATTTTTATTATTTTTTATTTTTTATTGCAGACATTACATTTGCATGTGTAATTAAAAAATTGTGCAGATACAACCAAAACACTCAACAAAGACTCAATACAGTTCGAATGACGATAATGACCATCAGTTGATGCGTGGAAAAAATAATGGATGAATTCTCAGCATATTTACAAATGAGGTTTATGGAGTCGAGAAACAAAAAGCATTCACAGCTATTCAGTTCGCCGTGTCAAACGTAAATAAAATCCAACAGAATCACAGATGATACATTCATACACTACATCACGATTAGGATAATTAGGAGTCTGACAACATGATAAAAGTACAGATCAAAGTACCAATGTCAAAAGGGAATTAAAAGGTAATATATATGCTATTGAAATTGAAATCAAGTCTTCGTCGCGGGTCTTACAAGCCCCAGCCCTGAACCGCTTCCTAAATGCTTAAAGTCAGTTGCTTCAAGATGATCTCCATGGCCAGCAAAACCAGTTCCTCCCTTTTCCAACTTGACCAGACTCCTTTCTTTGCATGGCTTGTTGCAGACTAGGCAAACCTTATCAACAGCCATGAATTTCTCCGCACATTTCTTGCAGAAAACATGACCACACGAACTCAAGGCTACAAGTGAGAGTGTATTCGTAAGTGTGACCTTGCAGCTAGGACAGATGTAGCTCTTATCAAGAGAGCTCGATTTCTTTTGTTCGCAGGTATCTTCTGTCAAGTAGATAGGGAAAAGTGTCTTCATCCTGAGTTTTTCCTTTCCCTCTGGACAGATTGTGTCCGTTGATGGGGCTTCAACTTTTGCAGGAGCTTCTGGAGTTGCAGACGGCAACCAAAATGCTTTCATTGTTCGGAGTGCTTCCTCTTCATATGATGTGGCCTTCACACTGTTAGCCCCATGGAAACCATTCTTGTCCCTGTTGAAGTTCTTATCATTGTACTGTGGCACTGCCCCATGGTTCTGTTGATCAAATGCATCAAGATCTCGGGCTTTCTGCAACATCAACTTTTCTTCTTCCTCTTCCTTTTCCTGCTTATGCTGAGCAGCATGGGCTGCTAGCTTTCTGCAGGGAAATGCTTCACACACTTCAGTACAACATCAAGATAAACAGAAACCAAATGAGGTTTATATTTGACAAAACTCAATAAAAACACAACGTTTCTTAATAATCTCCCACCTGAACATTGCTGAAAAGGGGACATAGGATATGCAAGCAGCCCTCCCAAATTTAATTCTCTGGTAACTTATAAAACAAGTGGCACAAACTACAAAGACAGTTGAATCATTTGGACACACTAGTTATTTACTGGATTCATCAAGCTGAAACACATCATGTTGAAGCCGAAACAAGTACATAATCAGAACTTGTGCAACTTTACACAGGGTAAAATAGGCAAAATAATATGGTCGCAGAATTTAAAGTTATTTCCAGTAAGGTCCAAAACATATGAAAAAACAAGTGTAAGTTCTATTACACACCCTATGAAAATGTGCAAATAACGCATCCAAGATAGAGTATCCTCTTAAGGAATTTAATGTTTCAGGACCATTCAAATTATTTTTTTGTTTTATTTTACTTTACTTTATTTAAAAATGTTGCAAAAATTAAACTTGAGATATCGATGGTGTTTTAAGGTCTAATAACAGCAGAGTTCTATGAATTTAGGTCCTCACCTAGAGCGGGTGTCAAGAAGGTTGCTTGGGTGGATCTACTGTTAGCATATTATGAACGGAACAGCACATGATCTTGTCGTTGCAGCCCTAATAACCAGACAACTGGACTAGAATTATGGTTTCTCCTGAAACTACACAATAATAAACTACTGCACAATGTACTTAGTTGAACTCACTCTTCCTAAGACATTCCCAATTAAGGAAAGATTCAGAGCGTGGTCTTAACTGAAAGAGTTCCAGTTCAAAACCCCCCTCGTACAATTAAGCTTCTAAGACCTCCTAAACTCAATAAATCCCAGAGTTCAAAAACCCATAATAATTTCGCACATAAATCTTTCCCAGTTAGTCTCAACACATAACCAAATGATCAGAAAACCAATCAAAACATCCAATTAGATGAGTCATATAATTAATTCTCCGCAATTTTATCATGACCAATTTCAAAGTTCAGATGGACGTATAATCCTTATTATTTGCGTAATAACCAAATTCTTATGAAAATTTGACAGCAGAAGTTGCGGAAAAACAAATTCGAGAAATTAAAAGTTACGGAAAAACAATCAAGGACCTTTGAATATCTTTCTTCTGGGCCAAAAGACATTCAAGAATGCATTCTTTGCAAAAGACGTGGCCTTTCTGGCAAGACAAGGGATCGATAACTGGTTTCAAGCACAGACTGCAAGCATCGAATGGTTTGATCGAGTCCTTGCCGAGTCTTTCTTTCTGGGTACCATACCCGAGTTTCTTCTTCTCATCATACGTGAAGAATGCTAAATCGTTGTTATTTTTCGAGTGTCTTTGAGGCATATTTGGAAGAAAAATTAACAATTGAGAAAGACGTAGATTTGATTGGGAAATTTAGGGGTTGTAGAAACCCTAGGATTTTTATGCTTTTCCACGGCCTTGGGTAATCAAAGAGGGAATTTATTTATTTTTCTTTGCATTTTGTCTCATTTCCTTTCCCAAAAATTTAATTTCTTTCAATAATAATAAATAAATAAATAAATAACCACATTTAGTATAGATTAAAATTCAATTTTTAGTCATACATTTAATAAGCCTAGCAACTTTTACACCGATCATTTTGTCAATTTTCATTAAAATTTATTTAAAAATTTAATTTTAATCCTTATTAAACATAAAATTAAGGGTGTGTATTCAATTGAAACTTTTAATGACTTTTTGAATTTTAAAAGTTAGGAGTATTCAATTGCAACTTTTTAAGACTCTTTAAAAGTATTGATGTATTCAATTGAGTCTTTTATAAATTTTTAAGAAGTCTCTAAAATTCAGGGTGTATTCAAGTGAAACTTTTTAGAAATTTCTATAAGTTTTGGGTATTCAAATTTTAATGATTTTTAGAAACTTTTATAAAAGTTTTTGGAGTACTAACTTTCTAATTCATATAAAATTTTAAAATTTGTCTCTCATTAATTACAAGATTTCGAGAGATTTTCATAAAAAAAAAGAAATTCAATCTTTTTTTTTTAACCTTCTACTGACATGTATGATTAAAATTTATTTTTTCTATTGATTATATTTATTTTCATTTATCTTTCTCACTTTTTCTTATTGTTTATCTCTATTTTCTATGAAATTTTTTTCTTTTTTCATTCCTTTTTTGTAAAAAAATATTTATTTTTTTATTAAATTATAAAATTTTATATGAAAATTTTATTATTAAATTTAAGTATATTTATTTTTAAAAGTATGTTATATATATATATTAAATTTTTATTTTTTTAATTTTTTTTATTATATGGAAAGAAGAATGAGAATTGTGGGAACACCACCTCGTATGTGAGAATTTCACACCACTGTATTAGATCTACATGAATTCTATTTCAAATGAAAGTCTTTTGAATTCTATAAAAAGTGTATAAACTTTTTAAAATGAAAATCCATAGAAATCTATGAAAGACTTCCATTAATTTCATACAAATCTATAAAAGATCCACGAAATTCATAGTAGTCATCACTTAAAAAAAGTCCATCAATATCTTCAAAAGTTCCAATTTAATACACTCCCTTTAATTTCTCAAAAGATTATAATCACATAAATTAAACTCACATGCAAGTATACATTAATATATATGTTTTTAAAGGAATGCGAGTGTTTATTTCCTTCAATGCCTTTGTAGATTGATAAATCCTCTAGCTAAAATAGATCAAAGAGCAAATGTTAAATGATATTATATACTATAGATTTTTAAAACATATATTGAGTTAATTTTTATTATTATTATTTTTTTTACCCAATAGAATAGGATCGAGTTATTTTTTTATTATTATTATGGGCCACTCCATTCTCCCGCAAGAAGTGAAGTAATGACACCACAATCCCTAAAATAATTGAAGCATTTGATGCAAGTAGTCTTGGTGGCTAACCTGCACTGACTAATTTGCTTGTAAGGTTCATATAATGTAGACGTGGAAAAGACTTCTTGAGCAAATGGGATAGGAGTCGTTGGGATACTCCTACCTAGCTAATGAAGTGATCTATCTTGTGGATCCATGCAATGTGAGAAATGAAGTGTGATATTTGATTTCTAATTAATACAGATTTCCCAAAGCAATATAAAAATCTTAAATTGCAGTGACCTTGATGAGGGACGTTAACATTTGACCTCCTTTTTCTTTTCATTTTTTTGGTTTTGTTTAAAGAATTGGTCTATGTGAGCTGAGTATTATGGCTACCCGGGCTTGAGTGTCCAGCCATAACCTGTGTCCCAGACTGGACCGATCAAGTTATGGGTTTGGCCTCCATGGCCTCGGGCAGCCTGACCCGCCAGTAAACATAGGTTTGGAAGCCCATTTAGTATTTAAAGTCAATTTACTAACACACTCCATTTTTGTATAAAAAATTTATCAACTTTCCATTACAATACTAATACGAGGATTGTGAACATTTCTTCCTTTTTGCTCTTATTATTCATAGTTCCAAAGTTAATTTTTCTCTTTACCCTCCATCTTAGATACTTAAAACGATTTAGAGTAAGATCATGTATAGATTGCAATATGCAGAAGTCGCTTCAATTGGTAATAATGTGAAAAAGTGATTTGCAAATATAATACTAACATGAATTTGTGTTAAGCATGTGGATGTGACTAGCATATACATTTCTTTATTTTCTTATAAGAATCCTGTTAAAGTTAATCTATAACATTAATATTGTTATGTGTTGACACACTTGGCCAACTCACTGGGGCCTAACTCCCACTCATGCCGAATCACGTGGCACTCCAATCGAGGTGGTATATATGGTCGAGGCTCTAATGCCGAAGCCTGTGAAAGTGGCCGAGGCTCTCATGCCAAAGCACCATGAAAATGGAGCTGAAGCTTTGAAGTGGAAGTATTATGTGAATGGAGGAGGCCCCGTTGGCCGAAGCTCAGTAACCGAGGTAGCAACCTCCGAATCACAAAGTAGCATCTTCCATGGACACTTCTCCGAAGAGATCTTCTACACAAAGATCTTACTTGAATGATTGATAGGACATTTGTCATGAGTGTAAATGTTAAGTCTTGTCACTAGTAGAGGCGGCTCTGCCAATCAATAAATGAATAACAGACTAGGTGCGGTTGATGCCTACAATTTGACATGTAAATTGTCCGGATGAGGGCACATGTACCCCGAATTAAGGGTCACGATCTAACTGGTGACACTATAAAAATCCCCCATGTATCCCATACAAAGGCTAATGCAATAATCAATACAAGAAATCATACTTTACTCAACTCTCTCTTTCTTATTATCTTGTAACACAAACGAGTTCATACATATTTAGATATACATTTACAAACATCGATTGGTAATGATTGTACAATCGGTCTACGAACATCCCGTCGGATTTCGAACGCTCTCGTCCTGCGCTGTTGAGCTACTCCCACGCCCTTGATCTGTCCGTTTTAGACCGTCCACGTGTTTTAGCGTGTTGGACTTTCGCTCACGTGTGTGCGGGTGGGTTCGACATCTGTAGGTAACATATTCTGGAGTCAATAGATTGGCGCCGTCTGCGGGTCACCATACAATAACCATGAACAACTTTGTGGTGAAAGCTTGTTGAAGAGGAACATTTAGGCACTTCCCTTGAAGGATTTGTTCTTGAAAAATAACAGGAGGAAGCCCCACAACTTAGCAAAAATCTGAAGGTCAAACATAGAAAATGAGTTTAAATGAGGATACGCCCCCCAGAAGGGTAAGAGAAAACGCGGGTGTGCCCCTTCCAACAGCTTCCCCAGCAGCTCGGCACCGACTCCACCACCATCATAAACGAGGTGAAATGTGAGTGATAGCCCGGTTATCAAGAGAAATGGCCGCCATGGTAGCCAACATGAGAGACATTGCTAGCCAGAACATGGCTATGAGGGAACTCATGACCCAAATGCAAGACTAGGGAGGCTTCCCTATTCCTCCATACACCCCCCCCAAGGGCACTACCAGCAAGAAGATGAAGTTCAAAGCCAGAGAGTTGCCTTACCGGACTATAGTCGAGGTAGAAGTCCATTTGAAAGGGAAGTGGAAGTTGATGTTTCTTCCAACTACGCTTCTGGGTGACCCACCGAGGTCCCTTTGAACCATGATAACTTCCTACCTCCATATGAGCAAGAGCGAAGGCCTAGAAGGTCAGGTAGTGTATTTGACAGAATCAGCCCTGCAGAACTGAGGCCTAGGCAACAACAACCTCGCGAGCCTTGGACAAGGCCATAGCCCCCACCGTCCATGCCTCAGCAGCCGGAAGAAAGGCATGAAAATGCCCCTTGTACTGCACCGCCTAGAAATAGACGCCAAAGAAGGGAAGAGGAGGTTAGGAACCATCCCGAAACCTCTCACCAACCACCAAGGTATGAGGCCGAAGAAAATGATTCAGATGAGCAGCAGAGATCCTGTGATTTGGACGACGATGATGAGAACCTGCCATTCTCGAGGGAACTAAGGAGTGCCTAGGTCCCGAACCACTATGTTATGCCTAAGATACGAAAGTATGATGGAAGAGGTGACCCTGAGAAGCACCCGAACGCTTACAAAGCTCACATGAGCCTAAGGGGAGCCACCCCAGCTGTGAAGTGTAGAGCTTTCCCCTTAACACTTAGCGGAGCAGCTAAAATTCGGTATAGTAGGTTACCACCTGGGAGTATAAGAAGTTGGCCCGAATTTAAGACCACCTTTTTGAAGAGGTTCGCTGTGAGCAAAGAGGGAGAGACTTCCATCCAATGCCTCCAAGACATAAGACAGGCACATGGAGAATCCCTGAAGAGCTTCCTATCATGCTTCACTGATGAGATGACGTACTGTGTGCAAGTCACCAACCGTGAGGCGTTATCTGCACTAAGAGGAGGCCTGAACATGAATACCGTATTTTGGAGGGATGTGCAAAATCAGGTGCCCACCACTTATGACGCCCTACTCGAGATGATGAGGTGGGAGATCATCAATGAAAAATTGATTGAGCATAGGAACAGGGCAAGTAGAGGCCTCCCACCTCCGCAAAGACAGCGTGCTAGAGAGCCGACATCACACATGATGGATTACCAAATAAACCAAGCCAGAAATGAGAGTTTTGGGCAAGCACTTGCCACCACCACTCTGAATGAAGTCCCGAACTTGGTATATGAGGATATCAACCCAGTCACTGACACCTAGTAGATGGGAACTCCGCAGGGATCTCGTAGGGGGAGAGGCTGAGGCCGGGGTTCGGGACCTAGAAATAGGTCAAATCCGAACTCCCCGGATACTGCATATACCACTGATCCTATGGTCACAACATAGTAAATTGTTGAGACTATGCTCACCATACTCGGCAGGAACCCCCCAGGGATAGAAATGAATTGCCTTAGGCGAACAGGCCCCCACCTAGGTATGACAATCGACTTGAGCATGAAGAGGCTGCTCCCCGTCAAAGGGATGTTTCCCCGCGACGAAGGGAGCA